ACTGTAATTTTAATCAAAGATTATATATGAACCCATGAGTCAGCCCCAAAACTGACTTATAGGATCTTTTTTATTTAACAATTAAACAAGTATATACAAGGCACTAAGTCTATGTCAAGGTACTAAGAGTATTTTTTAAATCTTAATCATTCTGTTTTGACAGGTTCACCAGACCAGATCTGTTTCCCTTGTACTTTCCTAGTCATTTTACTCATTGAGGTTTTTTTTTTGTAATTACTTATTTAATCATTTATCTTCCCTTCTCTTCCATATGCTCCATGAGGACAGGGAACATTTCCACTGATTACCACAATACCGCAGCACAATACCTGGAATACAGTAGGCATTCTGTGCATACTTGTTTGATTCAATGTATTAAAATAAGCCCCTGTACATCCTGAAAGTTTTTACAGTCCAGAAGTCTGACCAAAAAGGCAAAGCCACCTAACCAGCGTGGCTCAGTGGTTGAATGTCGGCCCATGAACCAGGAGGTCATAGTTCAATTCCAGGTCAGGGTACATGCCTGGGTTTCGGCCTTGATCCCCAGTAGAGGGCATGCAGGCGGCAGTTGATGGATGATTCTTTCTCATCATTGTTGATTTTCTCTCTCATCCTCTGAAATCAATAAAAACATATTTTTTAAAAAGGCAGAGCCACCCTAGCACGTTTGGCTCAGTGGATAAAGCAGAGGCCTGCTGACTGAAGGGTCCGGGGTTCAATTCTGGTCAAGGGCACGTACCTCGGTTGCAGGCTCCTCCCTGGTCGGGGTGCGTACAAGAGGCAACCAATTGATGTGTTTCTCTCATATAGATACTGCTCTCTGTCTTTCCCTCTCTCTAAAAAAAACAATGGAAAACCCTAGCCGGTTTGGCTCAGTGGATAGAGCATTGGCCTGGGAAATGAAGGGGCCTGGGTTCGATTCTGGTCAAGGGTACATGCCCTGGTTGTGGGCTCGATCCCCAGTTTGCTGTGTGCATGAGGCAGCCAATCAATTATTCTCTCTCATCATTGATGTTTCTATCTCTCTCTCCCTTTCCCTTCCTCTCTGAAATCGTCTGCGGTGACTGACCCAGGACACGGCCGTCCGCCCCGCCTCACCCTCACCCTCACCCTCACCCTCACCCTCATGGAGATCACGCTTCCCTCAGCTCTCTGGAGGCTGTGTCTTTTCACTTGTTCTGGGTTCTTCTCAAGTAGCAGTTGACTTGCTCCGCATTGCTCTCTAGCCTTCATTCCTATCAGCTTCCCTTTCACCTCCTTGTCCTTTCTCCGTATTTTGGGAGTTATTTAGCTTGTCCTCTGCTTCACTACAGCATCGATGTTGCTGTACCGCCTATGTAGTTGTTGTTGTTAATCCTCACCAGAGAATATTTTCCCACTGATTTTTAGAGGAAGTAGAAGGGATATGGAGAGACACAGAGAGAGAACCATCGATGTGACAGAGACACATGGATTGGCTGCTTCCTGCATGCCCCCCCACAGGGGATGGAGCCCACAACCCGGGCATGTGCCCTGACAGGGAATCAATGATGATCTGGTTCATAGGTCAATGCTCAACCACTGAACCACTCAGTTGGACAAGTAATGATATCTTCATAAACTCAGTTCTGTCAGCAAATCACTACAGGCACAGAGTTATTTAATACATGTTCATTGTAGAAAACTGGAGGTGAAGGTGGGACATGGGGAGGAAGAAACATAAAAAATAGTCACCCTTAATTCCTTCCAGTCATATGGTTTTTTTCCTAGGCATACGGGTTGTTTTTTTTTTTTATATTTTAGGCATACAGTTTTATTTTTTTAAACTACAGTAGCTGGGTGGGTCTACTTATTTTATCAGGCTTCTAGACTGTAAAAACTTTCAGGAGGTACAGGATGTCGCCTTTTAAATTTAACAACCTATGTGATTTTGTCATTAAATGTTCCATCAAAATGCTAACTTTTTTATTACTGCCAAATGTTTGTTCTAAGGATATATCAAAATCTCTCTTATCCACCCCTTATTGGGAGATGTAAGAACTTTTACTCTTAGAAAATTAATAATATATAAAGCTTTTTCAATTTTCTGTGGTCTGCCCCTGACCTAATGCAATGATCCCACCCCATTCCTTCCTTCTCCCCTTCTCCTTCTTCTAACAAATACTATTCCCAGTTCACCTCACTAAATTTGGTGTATTAGTAAACTTTCTAGGAGATCCTACTGAGCACAATATAAATTCCACACAGTCAAGTAAATAGCTGTACTCGTGAAGGATGCATGCAGTAGATACTCAATAATACAGTTTAGCCCTAGCTGGTTTGGCTCAGTGGATAGAGCATCGGCCTGCGGACTAAAGGATCCCATGTTCCATTCTGGTCAAGGACTCATCCCGGGGCTGTAGGCCTGATCCCCAGTGGGAGACATGCAGGAGGCAGCCGATCAATGATTCTCATCCTTGATGTTTCTCTCTCTCTCTCCCTCTCCCTTCCTCTCTGAAATCAATAAAAATATATTTAAAATAATAATACAGTTTAGTAACAAAAAAAACAAAAAAACAACCCACCTATTTTTAAAATTTAACTTTTATGTTTTACTAAAGTAATGTTTGTATTCTATCTAAAATATAAAATAATTCTATGAGGCTTATAACTACTTTCCCTTTCCCGCTCCAATTCCTTCAAGCGTTTCTTGCCAAATCTGTCTCCATAGCTCTGAATAGTGTACGGATACTGCTCTTTTCAGTTTTATTATCTTCTGACATCTTTCCTCTTTGAGACATCCACACCGATGCCCCTGTTCTGCCCCAACCGGCCATGGATGCCCGCTCGGTCAACTCACGCATTCAACCCACCTCGTGAGCTCAGACGGGCTCCTGTGCCCATCCCTGCCTCCCGACGGTCATACTTCCCCCCAGGGACCAGGGACCAGGGACGGGGGACTGCCCCAACCCAGCCACGCCTCCCCCACACCGAAAAGGGTGCGGGTTTTGCCAACAGGTAGACGATCGTCTCCCGACTCACGTCCCCAATAGCGAAAGGCCGACTTTTTTACCCTTAGAGAAGCACAGCCAGCGCCTCTGATGCCGGCCAGCAACTAAAACCTCCGTGAGGGGTTGTTTCCGCCCACCCGCAGTGCACACAGCAGCCCTGACCTGGACGTGGAGGCCGGGCGGCGCTGGCGCTGCAGGAAGGCCACGGCCACAGTCCCGCAGGGTGACCACGGGGTGAACTCTCCGCAAGGCGGCCCGAATCCACATACCTGGACCTGGAGGTGGAGGCCGACACCCGGGCGCGCCGGCTCCGCAGCCAGCGTGCAGGGCTCAGGGTCGGACTGCGGGCGCCCGAGGCCGTTCCCACGGAAACAGCCCCGAGCACTCACGGCGCCTGCGCCTCTTCTCGCCCCGCCCCGGACCGGGACGGCAAGGGGCGGGGCAGCGAGGAAGAGAACTCGGAGCCGGGACGGCCGCCTCGGGAGACGCCGGAAGTTTCGGGGGCCGGGGCTGTGGGCAGTCGGGGGACAGCGGGACCGAACGCGCGCGCGCGCACCGAGGCTTCCGTCCCTCGCGAACCTCGTGGCGGCGCGCTCTCGGGGCGGTGTGAAGCGTAGGCAGGCTCCTCCCTCCGCGTTTCCTCCAGGCGCGATCCTCGCCGGCGCCCGATCTCCGGCGTCCTGGCTGCCCCGGCCGCGGTCGCGGTGGTCCGCGCGGTGGCCTGGCTGCTGCTCTGGGAGGCAGCTGAGCTCGCCTGCAAGTCCTCCGCCGCCCTCGCTGCCGCCCACACCGATGCGGGTAAAGGGAGGGGCGTGGCTGCGGGTTTGAGGTTGAGGGGTGGCAGCTGCTCGGACTCTGGGGGTCCTCTCCCCCGAGCGGTTTGCGGAGGTGCTTCTCTGTATCCCGGCGTCTCGGACTGTGGGGTGAACTGGGGGAGGCTAAGCACAAAGGCCACGTGCCTCCTCTCTCTCGGGCTCCGCCTGCCACCCGCCTGGCTCTCTGGACGTGGGGAGTCGGGCTCTGTTCTGGCCACACAGTCACGGAAATATTGTGAAGGAAGTACAGCGATGAAGCGTCTTGGGATGCATGAAGCTTCTTGCACCACCAAGGAGCCGGCAAGGCCCCCTTGCCTGTGAAGTGTGAGAACCGCAGTCCTGAATACAGAGACGCCGGGGGCGTGGGAAGAGGACGGTGTCTTGCAAATACTTTAATAGTAGACGGGATTGCGCTGAGGTTTCTTGATGACTCCGGTGTAGGCAAGCGTTGGTTCATTTATTTGGGCCCCAGTCCGTGGGCTGGAGTGCTGTGCTGTGTGTTGTGGATCCAGCCCTGAGCTAAAAACATGCTGCCCTGACCCTCGTGGAGCTTTCAGTGGGTTGGGGAAGACATTCCACTGGTGATCCTATATAATAAAAGCATAACATGCAAATTGACTGAACCGGCAGAAGGACCCTATGATGCACACTGACCACCAGGGGGTAGACACTCAACAGAGGAGCTGCCCCCAGCCCGCAGGCCCGCCAAGGCAGGGGAGAGGGAGGGAATTGAACCCAAAACCTTTTGGTTTATGGGACAGTGCTTCCAACTGAGCCACCCAGCCAGGAAAATGGCAGTAATTTTGACTGCCTATTTTGCTAGGGTTGTGAAACTCATGTGAAAGCCCAAGTAAAGGATCTGTCATATAGGTATTAGTTAATAAATGTTAGTTTTTCATACTTTTCCCTTCTGTTGTGTATTTCAGATGTTTTAATCTCTATGACATGCTTTTTCATGCATCTTTTCAGGGATATATATACATATATATATGTGTGTG